ATAGAAAGAGAAATGATCTCATAAGCTCAGATAATATCACAATCATTTATCTGGTGAATAAGTTCATGGTAGAAGCCAAGAATTAAATAATCCACCAATAAATTGATTTTCCATGTCAGGCGCTTAGCTTAGGATATCATCTCTCTCTTCCACCCCCCTCTGTCATTTATTCATACAATTGAAAGACAAGATGCTGTCATTAACATAACTTCTTTCTATTGCCAACTTCTAGCCCTGCATATATTTTTTTCAAGTATAATGAGGGAGGTTTCCTAAGATCAAGGAATTTGTATTTTTACTAGAAGTGGGCCTTTTTCGAAGAGAGCATCGGACTGCTTGGTTCCAGTAAAAAATCTAACTGGTTTGGTGTCTTGAAACTGAGAACTAGACTATATAGCCCGACTCTAGTTTCCAATAGGACTCCAATATTAATCTATAGTCTCCCAACTAAACCGATCTATAAAGTACCTTGTATGAATTATTATTTGTTCAGAATAATCGAAGCTTTTGCCACAGAAACAGAAAGCAAGAAAATGAATTCTGAAACCTTCCGTCAGGACACATAATGAGTAGATATTAATTATCAAAATTATAAAGAATAACATCAGTTTTAAATCTGTATCCTTTTTTTCATGAAAACTAACTTATGGGAGATTACCACCCCAGAACTGTCACAATGCATATTACTTGTATAATGTGAAACAAGCTACTCAAGCAAATAAATGACCTAGAAACTTGAAGTTGAATTGTATGGCCAGTCACCATACAAGCACAAGATATATAAGTTACAAAAGCCGATTAAGTAGTAAATACATACGAACTTACATGACTTGGAGGAATATGCTTCCCACTTAGAAGATCCAGAAGGACAGTCCCAAAGCTGAAAACAACACTTTCTGGGGTAACCCTCCCTATATAAAAATTTTCAACACAATATTACTCTTGTAATAAGATTGGTGAAAGAAAATAAAAAAGATGAACAATCTTTTCCTTTATCACATTCATCTTTTATTTAGCCCCCGTTTGGTTTAGCTAAAAATCAGAATTTTAGTAGATTTTGATAATAGTTGATGAAATGTGTAGTTTGAAAGTTGATAAAAGTTGTGGGCCCATGCAATGTGTGGTTCAAGGTGAATTTGAGGGAAAATAGTTTTAGAAAATGGGGGCCAAACATGGACTTAATTTTTTGCACCTACTATAACAAGGTAGCTACCAAAATATTTTGGGTGTTTGGTATATGGAGCTGCCTCAGTGCAGGAAGCTACATCTTTTTTGTTTGTTTTTGAGTTCTTTTAAAATAAATGTCATAGTTTTGAAATATGTACGAGGCCAAACAACTCAAAGAGAATGCACATTCCACCCCATTTGCGGTTCATTGGAGTTCCAGGGGGATGACATTTTGGCAACTCTTAAGGCCTTAATGGATCATAAAGCATGCTAGTGTTTTGCATTTTGAGTCTTGATTCTCACTCAGTAATTGCAAAAAGTGCTTTTCTTCTGGCATCCTCTTGCCCTAAACTCAGTCATTGTAATGTCCTATTCAGTCTTAGAAACGTAGTATGGTTATAGAAGGAAAATTGGACTGCAAACATAAACTATCAAATTTTTTTCTTAAAAAACACCATCTGAAGAATGAAAATTAATTTGGGGAGATCAATAACCGACACAAATATTAGGTAGGAAAAATTAAATAGAGGGTAAGATTAAACAAGTACCATTTCTTAGATACTCTGGAGGTGTATATGCAAGATTTGTGCTGTAACTTTTACCATCTCTACTATTCTTCATAAATCCAAAACAAGAAAGCCGTGGATCACCATTCTGCCAAAATCACCCACCACATTAACAATTTATCCAATTAAGACCTAAAGCCCCTTCATAGAAAACAGAATCGGACAAACAAGAATAATATTGAATAATCAAATAGTTATATTATCCTATGTGAAAAAGCAAGTCTTCAACGAACAAAAAGGGAATAATTAACCTCATCAAATAGAACCCTGTAAGCATTTAAGTCATGGTAGAGTGGGCGACCCTCGCTGCTGCAATAATCTAATGCTTCAGCGATAAAAAGAGCCACTCTTAAACGCATGGCCCACTCAGGGGTTTGATTCTCCCCTGTGAAGAAAGTGCAGAAGAACATATTAGGTGATAATTATAGGAACGAGGAAGACAACAAGAAGTTTAACATATTAGACTCTGCATACGATCAAACTGATCACTGCTAAGAGGCAACCATTTGGACAATTGAATTGAGAGCTTAGGTAGCAGGAGATCCTCTTCTCTCCCACCCCACACACCCCCTCCAGCGAAAGGGTAAACAAATGAGGAAAAAGAAAAAGTACAAAAATGGATCTTATTCCCGGATCTTCTTCAACTGACAGACTCATAAGACTAAAGGAAAACTAACAAGAAAGTTAGGTTCTAATTTCCGTATTGTTCCTTGACGTATAAGGGACGTTGTACCTTCTCTTTTTACCTATTAGTGGAGGTATCTCCCCCCTTAACCACTTTTCTTTTAGACACTTTTTTTTTTTTTTGGGAGGTTAGGTACCATCTCCCTTCCCTAAGTTGTATATTTCTTTTGCAATAAATTGTCATCCTTGTGATGATTTTGGAAAACAGAGCAGGAAAGTAGAAAACACAATAAGCATCATATAAAACCTAGCATAAATAAATTACATATATTTGTGGACACATTTTGGCACCATAAATCATAGATGTCATTGCAGATGAATAAGGAAAAACGCTTTCTCAAGTTTGGGTAACTTAAAAGGACAAAAAAATGTCAAGATTTCCCACTTATACAGCACCATAAGTTTTTCAAAATAGCTCATTTGCACATAATTTCATACATGTTACTACATATTCCAAAATGAGTTCGCTGATCTAACTTGGCATTGTCATCATTGAACAATGAGTATAACATGTTACGTCATTTCAGATTACCAAAAGATAATGAAAGTACCATGCAATTTTGATACCATCTTCAATATATGTTACCATCTACTAAGATAAAGAGGATCATCTTTTGAGCATTCAATATTTTAAACACCTCTAATTATAGTTGTTTCCTCTTAGATAGATGAAACACCCCCCCCACCCCCACCCCCCACCCAAAGTCAACAGCTTAAATTTTCAGAAAGTAGGAAAATTCCTTTTAGAACAGGTTTACCTTATGACTTTCACAGATCAATCACTGGTCGTAGATAAACCATACACCGATACTTGAGAAGTATAGTCTTCCAAGATCGAAACATGCAAACTTTTCAAAAATACATCTACAAAATGATGGAAGCATAAGCTCCCAAACTGCTACTTACATCAAATAACAAGCTCCTCAGCACAGAGAAAATCTCAAAAAGGAAAACCGAAAACCCCATTAAGTTAGCAACTAACATGATTTCATATTACAGTACGGCTCAAGAAAATAAGAGCTAAAAGAAATGGTTAAAAAAAAAAAAAAGGCATCAATGTCTAATGAAGCTCTGATTAAGTAACTATTCAACTAATATTACCGAATAAATAAGTAATACACTTAACCAGTAATGGATTGCCAATACTCAAAAAAAAAAAAAAAAAAAAAAA